GCTCCACAAGGACTTTCATTCCTTGTTCTGATATGTGTCCAAGTTTCTGATGCCATAGCATTACAAAATCTAAACTACATGAGGCAATAGAGGCTTCTGCTTCTGCTTCTAGCAAAGTCTCTCCCTTCAGCATGTACAAGTTTGCTGCTATCTTTTCGCCTTTCAGCACCACAAGCGCTCCACGGAACACCTTCATGATTCCTTTATGTGTTTCAATCTTGCTTGCATTATTATCCAACAATTCATAGGATAATAAATTTTTCTTTAGGCCTTTCACGTGCGACATATCTCGAACAACTTTAATTGTTCCATTATACATCTTCAATTTGATGGTTCTCATGCCAACTCTCTAAGGCATAATCATTGCAACTATACACAGATCCTCATGAGACAGGTTCATAATGATGGAACCATTCTCTTCTTGAGGTCATGTGATATGTTGCTCCCGAATCAATGAGTTAAATATCTGCAAATCTTTTTCTACCTTCCACGGTGGTTGACGCTTCACAGCATAGAGAATCTCCATCATCTGGAGTGTTTGCGGTATTGCCTTGTGGATTGGAGTTTTTATTTAGACTCCAATAATCCTTCTTCAAGTGACCATTCTTTCCACAGTTGTAGCATTTTAAATTCTTTTTGCTCATCGACTTCGATCTATCATGTTTGTGACTCTACTTTGGCCATGTTCTAATGATCTCCCTCTCATCGTTGTCAACGCTTCTGCTTGTTGCAGATTTACTTGCATGTCTTCCTTGTTCTTGCGTCGATTTTCTTCTTATAGAACAGCAGTTGCAACGTCATCAAAGACTAGATTAGTGACATTATTGTTTGTCAAGTTGATGATGAGTTAATCATATGAATCAGGTAGACTTTGAAGTATAAGTTCAGCACGTTCTTGTTCTCCTATTGCACATCTTAAGGATGTAAGCTGAGAAAATAACGTGTTCAGTGTGTTTAAGTGCTCTGTCACTGAAGTAGATTATGGCATACGGAGAGTGTACAATTTCCTCTTAAGGAAAATTTTATTGTGCAACGATGTGGCCTCGTACAATTTGGTGAGATGATCTCATATCTCCTTAGTTGTCTTATTCTCCTCGATGCTTGACAATACTTCATCTACTAATACTAGATGAAAGTTTGTCATAACATTCTTGTCCATTTCGATCCATTTGTTATCATCTGTGAAATCTACCGGACTTTCACTGATAGCCACTAGACACCCGTCTTTCCTCAGGATAACCTTCATCTTCAATTTTCACAATGAGAAATTTCTCCCATTGAATTTTTCAATATCAAATTTCATTGTCATAGCTTCTATTACGGATAGCTCTCACTATTTCACTATCATGAATAGTTCTCTGGAACCTTCAAAGAATGGGTAATACCTTCTTACTTTCTTATGTTGAAGGATTTACCTTTTGGTGGCAACCACAAAGACAATAAGCAGATATTACAAACTCAAATCTGGCTCTGATACCAATTGTTGCGGAAGACGGCTATCGGATAGAGCAAAAATGGAACTGATAATTTGAGAAAATAAAAATTGAAGATAAAAGAGACACAAAATTTATGTGGAAAACCCCTAAATAATATAGGGTAAAAACCACGGGTAACGGTAGAAGAATTTCACTATGAGAAAATAAGAATTACAACTTCTCTCTATCTACCAAGGAGAAAACAATGATAATTCTCTTTTGATAAAAAGGAGAAAAACAACTCTCAAGAAACTCTCTAAATTCTCTAGTATTGGAAAAAAGCTAGAATGCTTTGGGATGGTTTTGAAGCTAAATGAGCTAGGGTATTTATAGTTGAAGCTTAAGGATTAATCTTATAAATACCCTAAAGTACAATGTCTAAAATTGATATTTTGCCATTACTCATTTCAACAATTTCAGCTCACCTAATTGTCGTGTATTTTGACAATTTATGCACCTTTTTTCGGTGCATTAGGTGCACCAATTTTGACTTTGCACCATGCTTTCGGTGCACTTTGATTTTCAACATAACACACGTATGTAATAGATGTACTCCGAGATATTTCCCAAAGTCTCATACCTCCTGAAATCCACACAAAATATTGATCATGGCTCGACATTGTTGTCCTACATTCTTGGAATAAAAAATGTTTGTTTTTGCAAGGTTAACTTTCTGACCAGAAACAAGGCCAAATATATCCAGAATATTTTTTTATTATCTCTACTTGGTTCATCGATGCATCTACAAATAGTATCATATCATCTGCAAAACAAATATGTGAGATTGCTGGTCATTTCCGGGCTAGCCTTATTGGTTTCCAAGCCTTAGCTGGCACACTCCTCTATATAGCTTACCCAAGTCGTTCCATACACAGAACAAATAAGTATGGGGATAATGGATCCCCTTATTGGATTCCTCTCATGGGCTTGAAAGGTTTCAAAGCAGCTCCATTCCATTAGACTTAGGTTGAGACTGACGAAACGCATCGCATAATCAACTGACGAAAATGATCTGGTAATCTAATATCTTTGATAGTGTCATCAATAAATGACTATTCCAACCAGTCATAGGCTTTCTCGAGATCAATTTTAATAGCCATAAAGCCAGTTTTCTTTCTTGAGTCGCATAGAGTGCATCACTTCCTGGGCTACAATAATGTTTTCAGTTAACGATCTCTCCGGGACAAAACTTGTTTGATTGTGGGATACCAAAATTGGAAGAAAATGTTTCAGCCGATTAACTATGATCTTTGTAATGACTTTGTACAGAACTGAACACAAACTAATTGGCCAAATTTGAGATATTAGTTCTGGTGCCTTTATCTTTGGGATCAAAACAAGGAGTGTATGGTTTAAAGATTCATCGAAAGTTCCCCCATAAACACCTCTTTTACAAATTTATATACACTGTCTCCTACGATAGCCCAATTGCGTTGATAAAATAGTGAATGAAATCCATCAGCTCCAGGGGCTTTCAAAGGTCTCATATCAAAGATAGCTTGCTTGATTTCTTCATCAGTGACAGTGCGAGAAAGTTCCTCCAATGATGCTTCCGGGATAGAAGGAAAACATCATCGGATATTATACCCATACCTATTAACTCCAGCGCTAGTAAATAATTCATTGTTAAATTCCACAGCCAGCGTTTGGAGTTGCTCTTGATTTGAACACCAAGACCCCTCTTGTAGTTTGAACATAGTTATCTCTCATTCCTTGCATGGTGCTTAAATGAAAAAACTGTGTTTTTATCTCCATATAGGATCCATTGCTGGCGTGACTTTTGGAACCACATGCTTTCCCCCTGCTTAAGCACTTCCTCAAGTTCCAGCTTGAGTCTTGCTTCCAGTTGTATTAAATGTTCAGAGTATGAATATCGGAGTGCTCTATCTATTCCTTGAAGACGAGCTAGAATGTTCTTTTCCGGCGTCCAATATATCCAAAAGTCATAGTGTTCCAATTGTTAACATTTAATTTAAAATCTTTAATGTTTGATAAGATATTTCGGTTGTTATCCCATGCACTTTTCACTAAATCCTGGAAACCAAGATGTTCTTGCCAGGCAGAAAGGAATTAAAACGGTCTATTCGAGGCACGATTCTCCACTTTCAGCTCCTGGTATAGTAGCGGCCAGTGGTCTGACCCCACTCTATCTAAATACGAGACAATTGCTGCTGGAAACAATGTTTCCCATCCCTCATTAACAAGGCATCAATCTAGTCTTTTCCATAGGATCCCACGTCTCCAAGTAAACATTGCTCGACGATAAAATCCCAAAATAAATTGCTCACACCATTCCCCCGCGTCGAGTTTCCTTTGCTTTCTTCGCGTCGAATGGTGGTGTTAAAATCGCCCCCAATAGCCATGCTTCATTACTACCGGGATTAAGTCTCTCAAGTAGATCCCAGATTGTTTTGCGTTTCATTACATTTGGATTGGCATAAACTACCGTAAAAAATACCCATCGTGAGCTTTCTTCTTCCCGAGTGAGACAATGGATGAATTGGTGCGAAATTTTCAAAATTTCCACATGTACCTTGTTCGTCCACAAAACCTAGATACCTCCTCTAAATCCATTGGCTTCCAGTCGAAATGAGTTCTGGTATCCTAATTTCAATATTATTTTATATGTGTTAACTCCGCTGATCCTCGGTTCTATTAGGGCTACTATTTGAGGTTTATGGTTCCTACATATGTATTTGAAGCATCTTCGAAAAGTGGTGCTTATAGCCCAGCCCCTTGACATTTCCAGAAAAGAAAATTAATAATTAATGAGAAGAGATGATAAGATGAAATCCTCACTAATCCGTGGGGATGACTGAAACCTCCAAGATTCTTATATCAACCAATCTTTCTAGATTACTCGATTTAGAGTTTTTATCAATAACTGTGTCTGCATTACTTAAGGGTACTACCATGGTCACTTCCCTTTTGGTATGTGATGAAGTTCCACTAGGTTCTGAGATAATTGGTGTGCTAGTAAGTTGCTTGTCAATCGATTGGATCCATTCTGAGATTAATGGTCATAATGGTGGATGTGAAACAATAACTTTCTTCATCTTCATTCCTTTCCGCATCACGCTCAGCCCGACTTTTATATTACCACCAGTTTTCCTGTTTCCATGTAGAGAGATTTCTTGTGATTTATCTATTCCATCTTACACGATAGTCACTGCCGAATGGTGACCTTTTCCAGCTATGCCTGCATTGGTTGTAATGAGTGAAACTTTTGTATTGTTCGGTAATAACACCTCTGGATGAACTGTAGTATTTTTTCCTGATTGTTATTTTTTGTTTGACTTGTCTTAGAGATTCCATGAGATCTTTCCGCATTCGGTAGTTAGTATTTTGTTTGTTGGTTGTTGCTTGAATTATTCCTTGTACTTTTGTATTGTCGTTGGTCTTTTGGCTTGTTGTTGGTATAGTTTCCTCTTTCTCTATTACCTCAATATTTTCTAGTGTTTGGAATCGAGATCACGAATGGGTGCCATCTGTTTGTTTGCCATTTCGTTGAGTGTCGGTGACTTTTCATGGTTGTCTCTTCCTACTAGCTGTGATCATCCAAGGGTCGTATATTGACCCTATTTCATTATCTTTATTAAGGTTATTATGTACCTCCTTATTGTTTTTATCCTCTGTTATGCTTGTGTTAGATGAAGCACCACACGTCTCAAAAGAATGCCCATATGTTCCACAGGTACAACATATTTGATGGAGCCACTCATACTCAAGCTGTCTAACAATGCCATCAATACGAATGCTCGGGATCAACAGTTTATTAAGGTTAACCATTACGGCTAATCTTGCAAACTTTCCTCGATCTCCTACAAGTGTATTGTAGTCGATCTTGATCACCTTACCAATTATCTCAGCTATGTACCTGAAAAGTGCTTTCAAATAGTATTGATAGGTAGTTTAGGCATTCTCACCTAAACAATTACATGTGAATGAAACTTCTCTACTTTAGTAAAAGTCCTACTCCATGGTTGTATTGTGAGGTAACGACCATACACCGTCCATGGTCCATCTGACAAGACGTGGTTATAATCTTCTTCTATTTCAAACATGACGATATAATAGTCACTGTCCAAATCCACGACTTGGAATCTACCTTTAGGTTTCCACAACAGTTGTATTCTGTTAAGAAGCGTTTTGTATCCAATTTTACGTCCGAGTAGTCTCACGATAATAGATCTTCGCATGCTATGGTCGATTCTCTCATGAACCTTTTTAGAGAATTCAACAGATGGAATCTGTCCACTGTTGAAAGAGCAGTATGCTCTAGTAATTGAAGAAACAGATTGAGAAGGGATAATACTTTCTTGATTCATTCATCAATCTTTACACGCCTTATATAGCAACAAGACTACATGACCCTTAACTAGAATACAAGAACTCAACTTGACTGTAACTGTTTAAACAGAAACCAAAACCACCTAACAACATTAACTGATGTATCTTTAGGAGATGTAACTGATTACATTTGGAGTACAAACTACCATGCATGTTAGCCATCAGCGTGTACCACCAACATACTTCAACATTCTCCCTGTTTTCTCTCCTCTCCTGTTCCTTAGCACAATTTTACACACAACTTAGCACGAAATTCTTCAAAGGCATTTCGAGCCAAGGGCTTGGTTAATCCATCAGCAATCTGGTGAGTAGCAGGAACGTAATTGACTCTCATTAGCTTGGCTACAACCTTCTCTCGCACAAAATGTATGTCAAGGTCGACATGCTTGGTGTGGGCATGATAGACAGGATTTGTGCTAAGGGAAACAACACTGGTATTATCACACCATATGACTGGCTCCTCTTTTTGGCAGACACCAAGTTTGCTTAACAAAGCACCAACTCACACCACATTTGCAGCTCTGTCAACAACGCTCTTGTACTCGGCCTCCATGGTGGAGCGTGACACGGACTTCTACTTCTTCGAGCTCCAGGCAACCAAGTTATTGCCAATAAACATGCTATGTCCAGAGATTGACCTCCTGTCATCGAGACTGCCACCCCAATCAGCATCAGTAAAGGCAGCCACCTTCACATCATTTCCATCAGTAGTGAATACCATGCCAAAATTCATCGAGCCAACCAAATATCGCAGGATTCGTTTGACTATAGCCATATGCGACTGCCGTGGAGCATGCATGAACTGAGCGACCTTGTTCACGCAGAAAGCAATGTCAGGCCTTGTGTGACATACATATAGGAATCCTCCAACAATGCTACAATAGAAGTGAGCATTGGTGATAAGTTCTCCATCATCACAACGTAGCTTGGTAGCAGCTACCATGTGAGTTGGTGTTGCAGTGGATTCCAACATATTAGCCTTCTCAAGAAGTTCCATAATAAACTTCTTCTATGACAATGCTAGGTGATCGTTGGTTCGTTTAACCTCAATCCCTAGAAAGTACGAGAGCTACCCCAAGTCCTTTAGAGAAAACTTATCACTCAGCAACCAAACCACTTCATCAATTCTAGCACTAGAGTGACCTGTGATGATGATATCATCAACATAAACCAATAAGTACACATATTGCAGACCCTCATTCTTAATGAATAAAGAGACATTCACTTTTGATTCTTTGAACCCAATGCTCAGCAAGCTATCTCGTAGCTTGGTGTGCCAACTTCTCGGTGCTTGCCTCAAGCCATACAGAGCCTTTTTCAGACAGCACACCAGCTTACTTCCATCAGGCGAAGTTTGTTCAAAGCCCGGTGGTTGCTGCATGAAGACCACCTCCTGAAGGTCACCATTTAAGAAGGCATTGTTCACGTCGACTAGCCTTAAGGACCAATTGTTTGTCAAAGCTAGTGATAGGATGACATTTAGTGTATTGAACCTGACAACGGGGCTAAATGTATCCCTAAAGTCATAGCATAAGGTTTAAGAAAAACCTTTAACCACCAAGCGGGCCTTGTAACGGTGAATGGTGCCATCAGGGTTCATTTTTATCTTGAATAGCCAATTACAGCCTATAACCTTCCTTCCTTCGGGTAGCTTGGTTAATTCCCAAGTACCATTACGCTGTAGGGTATTATACTCTTCAAGCACAGCTGCCTTCCAATTTGGTGACTTGAGTGCTTCAAGCACACTCCATGGAACATCATCATCAGTAGTTCCTAGATATATCTTGGGTTTAAACACTCCATGTTTGCTGCGGGTCATCATCGGATTAGTATTGACCCTTATGGCCTCAATTTCTGTATCATCATTTATGGTTGACTCACGCACGTGTTGTTCTTCAATTCATGCACCATCATTTATGGTCGATTCATGCACGTGTTGTTCTTCAATTCCTGCACCATCATTTATGGCCGATCTATGCACATTTGTTTCTTCAATTTCAGTGCCAACGTTTATGGCCAGGCTATGTTGCCTTTGTTCTGAGTTAACCCGATGCAAACCAACTTCATGAGTAGTAGGAGCCTCTAGAGAAGCCTCAGTTCCTAGCATATCATGACTGGCAGTTGTAGTACGTGGACTGCTCATCGAATTGCTACTACTAGAACCTGAAGGTAACCTGTTATTTCCACGTTGTGAAGATTTTAAACTCGTAACACCAGTGACCAACTTAAGTGGCTGGGATATCTTCTCAGTCGAGGTTGCAACAGGATTTTTGTTAGAATTTCCTACAAAAGGAAATATATTTTCATTAAATATCACATGTCTGGAAATAAAAACACGTCCATTGCTTGCTAAGCACTGAAATCCTTTGTATTGCGAGTTGTATCCTAAGAACGTACACAGCTGGGATCTAAACTCGAGCTTGTGTTACAGGAATGGTCTTAGATGCGGTAAACACCTGCATCCAAACACTCGTAGACTGTTGTAGTCTAGTGTTTTCCCATGTAACATCTCAAATGGTGATTTGTCTAGGAGCACCTTTGAAGGTAATCTATTAACAAGATGCACTGTAGTTTGAATGGCATATGACCAAAACTTGATTGGCATGGATGCTTGTGCAAGTAGCACTAAAGCCATCTCGACTAGGTGTCTATGCTTGTATTCCACCACTCATTTATGCTCGGACGTGTGAGGACAGGTGAGACGGTGAATAACTCCTGCTTTGCTTAATTCAACAGTCAGGGGTCGAAATTCTCCTCCCCAATCAGTCTGGAGGGCTTTAATTGTTCCCCTAAATTATATAGCAACTAGCTTTTGAAACAAGTGAAATGCAGTTAAAGCTTTAGCCTTTGATCTCAGTAGGTACAACCAAGTGAATCGTGTGGCAGCGTCAACAAACGAGACATAAAACCTAAAGCCATTAGATGATACATGTGGAGGTCCCCAGAGATCAGAATACACAAGCTCGGATGGTTTATTATATACACTATCCGAGTGAGAAAACGGCAACTTGTGGCTTTTACCAAGATAACATGCAATGCAATTTTTATTAACATCTTCAATTGTTTTTACATTGATTTGTTTACAGATTTTAGCAAGTGTATCATAAGCTGGATGACCCAATCTTCTATGCCAGACTTCTGAGGTTGTGGAGGAAGCTATGGTAGTTTGTGCTTCAACCATATTATCTTTGCATCGAATTCCACTTGTTGTGAAGGTATATAGGCCATTGCATTCTTCTCATTGCAGCAAGATTGTCTTAGAGGCTTCATCACGAACATAACAAGTTTTGGCATAAAATTCTAGGAACACACTGTTATCCCTAGCAAGCTTTGACACAGAAAGCAAGTTTTTAGTTATGGAATGAACATGCATGATATTACTTAAGGCCAAGGATCTAGATGAAGCATGCAGTTCAGCCTTACCAACCAAATGAACTGGTAGAAAGTCACCACTTCCTACCATCAACTTACCAGGGTTGTTAAGGTTTGAGTGAGGGGTTAATCACCCACTTGTCTTGACCAGCAGACACATCATGAGCTTGGCCTTTCACATCACTCCTGTTATCATCTCGATGTATGCTGCTATGATTACAGTAGGCACATGCAGTTTCATTATTACTATTAGCAACATAGTATGCTTTTGAGGATTCAAGGCCACCAGTATGATCATCAATCGATATGCCAGAAAAATCCTCATCAAATATGTACCAGCATTGACTTACAAGGTGACCAATCTTGCCACATAGTTGGCATTGAACCCTGGGTCGAGTTCTACCTCTGCCACGGGATCTTCCACGCGTGTAGGACGAGTGATTAGATTGAGGCTGTTGTTTTTCCTGGTTCTTATAAGAGCCACACTCACCTTTTCCTTGTACAAGATTGGCACTGACAGGCAGGGAATCTGGTTGGTAATCGAACCCTTCAAGCTGAGTTTCAGCATCAACAAGCATTGTGCAGATGATGTCAAGAGACAGGTTGTCACGCATGGCGGACATAACAGTAATAAAGTATTGATATTCCCTCGATAGGCCTCTAAGAATATTTGCCATATGTTCAGATGTTGACACTGGACTTCCACATGAATCTAAGGCATCAATAACCTCTTTCACTCTTATGAGGTAAGTCCTCATACTGTCACCTCTTTTCTTGAGGGATTGAATCTTGTAGTGTAAGCTCATGACGACAGTGGCAGAGCGATTGGCAAAGAACTACAAAACCTTATTCCATACCTGAGCAGAAGTCTCTGCACCAATGAATTGTGGAAGTAAATGGGGGCTAACCGTTGAGAGAAACCAGGAAGCCAATGTACTGTCTTGGGCCAAGAACTCTTCATGTTCTTCATTGACAGTTGCAATTCCATCTTCACCAACCACTATTTCTGGAGGTGGGAGCATTGTACCATGAAGCATTCTTTCAAGACGATGGCTCCTTACTATGAGAAGTACTTGTTGCTTCCAAAGTAGAAAATTAGTTTCGTCAAGGACGACATTCACCCTCTTGTTGGTGAACACTTCAGTGTTTCTTGATGAAAACTCCATCGACGTGGCTGTAGACGATATGCTTTGATCCATCGCAGTATGAGCAACGAAAGTACACCCAAGGATGAGGTAGCGAATGATACCATGTTGAAAGAGCAGTATGCTCTCGTAATTGCAGAAATAGATTGAGAATGGATAATATTTTCTTGATTCATTCATCAATCTTTACACGCTTTATATAGCAACAAGACTACATGACCCTTAACTTGAATACAATAACTCAACTGACTGTAACTGTTTAAACAGAAACCAAAACCACCTAACAGCATTAACTGTTGTATATTTAGGACTGCAACTTATTACATTTGGAGTTCAAACTACCATGCGCGTTAGCCATCAGCGTGTACCACCAGCATACTTCAACATCCACTAGTATCTATTATAACATCTCCTTCTTCCACAATAACATCGTCCATACATGGAACTTTTTCCATTATTCTATGTTGTTGAAAACTTCCAACGACCACACCAACGTACGACATACCTCTTGGGTTCTCTCTGCCTCCATTCTCAATTTTATTGGAGTTATTTTCGATTAATATATCGTTACCTTCAGCGAAGTCATGTTCGTCTTGCATCGTCTCCCTTTCGTTTCTTTCTTTTTTCAAAGCCTGGTTATTCTCAATCGATGATCCTGGTCTCTCTAAGATTGTTGGGGTAACCAGAGATATCCCTTTCATCATTGGAATATTATGGTTGATATCAGGGGTATATCCAGTGGCAATCGAGGTGGGTCTGTTGGTGGGACGTGGTTTTGCATGAGGTTATCATTAGGGTTTCACATAAACCTCTCGCTAGGGTTGCCTTTTTTCACCATGCTCGTGTAATGTAATGATATTTGTTCTAAGCAAAGCTCACTTTTCATTAAAAGTGATAGGTGATTAATTTAGTTAATATTTTGCTTTTAAAATACTCATTAATAATTGGTTTTTGTGATTTATTTGTTCGTTTTGATTCATTTTTTGTGCAGAACGTTAGATTCTGGAAATTACACTAAAAGGAAAGAATTCTGCAG